GCAGACTTAGAATTGCATACCTTTCGCTAGGAATAATGTTTGCCTTGAGGTGATCTGTTGGCATCTGAAGCGGAATGGCGTCTACGGCGCACGCCACCTCCACACTTCGTCAAGTTGCTCCTGTCAAAGAACCGGCAGATTAATCTTGGGCTTGGTCGAGTGGAACAATCTGTCGCTGAAACCCTCAATTGTATGGGTCAGATGGTCGAAGTGTACTTTCGCAGCACCCTTACGATGCTGCAATGCTCTGTTGGTGTTTATGCTGGTCATCTGGCCCATGCACTGCGCCAGCAGGCCAAACCCCTGAGGCAGGGCTTACCTGGGACCCGCCTCATGATGTAGGGAGCAACAGTTGACTCACTTTCGCATTCGCCTTCGAGCACTCAAGCCGTCAGCCCTACTCGACCTCAAGCATAAGGCAAGTCATGGTTGCTTCGGTCTCCGGCGCCAGTCGCGCAATTATCGCTCTCTGCTCCGTCATCGCTGCCCACGGCGGCTTTGCCGTTGCTGCTGGTACCCAGGCCGATGTCGGTTCATGCTTAAACAAGGCTGGCATCGAGAACTCGGTCCCCACCACCACCACCTGGACGATGGATATCCAACCGTGGAACTCGCGCGTGAACCCCGTGCCTGCCGCTGTCGCTTTCCCCAAGACGGAGAAGGAGGTGTCTGCTGCCCTAAAGTGTGCCGCTAGTGCTGGTGTCAAGGTGACCACCCTTGGTGGCAACCGCTCGTTCTCGAGCATGGGTTTCGGACGTAACGATGGAGCCCTCGTCATTAACCTGAAGGCTCTGAAGCACCTAAAGTACGACCCGTCTACTAAGTTGCTGTCGTACGGAGGCCCCGTCATGATCTCGGAGGCCGCGAACCACATGTGGAACAAGTACAAGCGCACTCTTCCTCACGGCCGTTGCCCCGATGTCGGTATGACCGGTGTGGCCGCTTCGGGATTCGGTACCCTTTCACGTTCTAGCGGTACCGTGCTGGACAACATTGAGAGTGTCCGTGTGGCCCTTGCCAACGGCACCATCGTCGATGCCGACGCTAAGCGCAACTCGCACGTGTACTGGGGTGTGCGTGGCGCCGCCAGCTCGATGGGCGTGGTGCTGGACTTCAAGATCAAGACCCTTGATCCCCCATCGGAGCGCGTGACGAACTACACTATCGCTTTCAACTCGAGCTACAAGCCCACCCAGCAGGACAACGTGGATGCCCTTATCGGAACGCAGACGTGGGCTCTGAGCAAGGACAACAACGACCTGGTGTCCATCCGCTTTAGCCTCAAGACCAAGTCCACGCTGCAGGGTTTCTTCTACGGAGGTGGCGCCAAGGCCAAGGCCGTGTTGGGTTCGCTCATGAAGAACCTGCCCCCTTCGATGGTTCTCACCTCCAACGAGAACGACTTCTGGACGTCCGAGGACATTTCGACCCCTGGCCTCCAGAAGGAGACTCTGACTCCCCGTCGTTACTTCTACATCGCATCGGTGACGATTCCTCGCTCGACTCCTCTTGACAACGCCACGGCCTGGGAGCTCTTCTCCGGTACTGCCTTCGCTCCCAAGCTTCCTGATGCCTCGGCTTCTGGCTTCGTGGACATCTGGGGTGGTGCGTACGCCAAGACAGTCAAGGCAGACACGTCTGCCTGGAAGCACGACGACAACCTGCACCTGGTTCGTTGGGACATGCGTACGGCGTCCTTCGACGTGAAATTCGCCGACAGCTCGATTACCACCATGCGCGAGCACTTCTACAAGTTCGTGGATGCTTACAAGGCTTCGGGCGGTGTGCCCGGCGGATTCACGACGTACCGTGACGAGAGATGGACGGTGCCGGAGATGGCTGAGTACCTGTACGGCGGCGGCAACTTCGAGAGGCTGCAGAAGATCAAGACTGAGGTCGACCCGAACGAGATGTTCAACACGGACCCTCAGGCCATCCCCGCCCTGACTGCTTAGACGATCGAATAGGTCAAGTCGGTGCTTCAGCTGAGAAGATTTGTCTTACGTAGAACATCATGTGAATGTAGTCACCCCCGGATCCTTTTGAAGGGCTGCGGGGATTAAAGAGAAATGAAAAAACCACTCTGGTGTACTCAGGTGGTGGCTTGATTCTTCGGCGGTTGTTTATTCTGTTTTCGATGCTTGGATGCAAATCATGATTATTAGGGGTCGAAAATTGCAAAGATGTAGTTTTTGGGATTGCTGATGGTACTGATATGTTAATATTTCAAAATAATCGGAGGGAACTTATTTTTATTATTTTAGAATAGTTACAAGTTCTCTCCGATTAGTTGCTTACGTTTTTTTATTAAAATAAGTTCTCTCCGATTATTAATATTTGCTTACGTCTTTTTGTGACTAGGGCTTCGCGAAGACTACGAGAGGAAATGGCAACACGCTACGGAATCAACGCTGTTATGGTGGCATATCGGTAAACTTCAACTACAAATGAAGTAATTTGGCTTAGCTTCGGCGTGTTAGATGTATTAGTACGACCATTGTCATACCGACTCATCACACAGTAATGGCAAGGTTTTCCCCAATAAAATTTAACAAAATCTACGCACTTATAGAATGAGTCCCAACCAGCGGGAATTGCTGTTACTTCGTATCTCCTGTTCCTGCTTCGCAGCGGCAGTATTGGCTTTGTCGAAGCTGCGTTGGAAGTATACTAAAGTGCTATTTTAACCGTTAATATATTAAAATATATATAAATATCCAAGATGTCACAACGACGGGGAGCAATTCAGAAAAATTGAGCCCGTCTGGGCTGTTTTGACACCATACAATTAAGCCTGTTGGGAGCACTATTAATATGATATCGGTATACCAGTGCGTACACTTAATTATGGTGGTGGTGGTGGCTATGCATGCCAGAATGGCGAGTGCCTAGTGTTAAAGATGCTGAAAAATGTGCACTGGTGACCTGGCGGAGAGCACTCTTTCCACCATAACTTCGGCGTTTGTAGAGTTTTTTCGCGCTCAAACAGCATTGGAAAGAGGGGATCAAACTGCATGGATTCCGCCAATCAGCGCCTCGAAACCGACCCTCCAGGGGAAACTACATTTTATCATGTGAAGAATGTTGCATTTATTACAAACGAGAGGAAGTAAATCGTTTGTTATTTTTACTGTAGGTTATTATATTCGTTTGGGCACTCTTGAGCACTTTGGGCACCGTCTTGGGTGCAGGCTTTTAGAGCTGCCAGGCGTGCTCGCGTGATTGCGAGAGCTTCATCTACGTCGTCCTATCTATGAGGAGCGTCGTGTAGACACCAACCGCTTGCCAGATGATGTCGCCTGGCCCAAAGACGTGTTAGATATAACAGAGTGTTTGAACCCGACGCGGATTCGATTCAAGGACGTCGGAGATTTAGGGGTGTGCCAATGCTATGGCGACTGTTTCATGGAACGTGTGCAATATGGCCTAGGCCGTCTATTGTACTCCTAGATCATACCGATTGGGCGCCAAGTGCAGCAACGCACCCAGAAAAGGAGGACGCTGAAGCTGTTGGACACTGGGTGCGTGCGGATTGGCGTCTTCAATTCTAATGACCTGGATGAGGTAAAATTGTAGGAGGATACACAAGTGTTCTCTGTGCTTTTGAAGGCCAACACACAAGGTAAACTCCTGAAGCTCTCAAACACAACAGTGGCTACACAATGCTGTACAACACGCTATCTACTAAAACAAAGTTTGTGAATGTGGAGTTTACCAGTAGCTCGATTCTTGTCTGGATGGACGCGGACCGCGAGCTCCTTGTAGCGTCTGCGCACTTCCTGGGCATCCGTGAACGATGGCACATGGCTGGATTCACCTAGTTTGAGCACCGCATAGTGCGTGCTGCAGTTCAAAATGCGCGATACCTCCACTGAAGACATCGGCGCTGGATACCAGTAGTAGCAGCAGCACCAAGAACGCGAGGAAAAGATGCATGGCGACAAAAGCTTCGTGAATGTTTTTGTCCAATCATTTCAATAAGTTCAATTCATTGTGACCCTACTGCGCTCATAACTTTGCCATAGCTTTTCTTCAGTAACAGCTTCACTGGTACAGGTCGTTGCCGCCCTGTGCGGATCGATTTCATGGTAGAAGGGAATTTTCGAGGCATTACTGAAGCGGAAAAGCTGCAAGGCCACGATAAAGAGTATATTTATTTCATCGAAAGCGCTGAAGTTTTCAAAAAGTGTATTTTGAGACTTCCCTAGCGCAAGCGATAGTATGTTTACAATTGCAGCCTTTACTTTTTACTACGTTCTCAGTGGCTAAAATCATGGCAATACATCTAAATCCAATCTAATACTACATTTTTTTTTCGCTAACACAATTGCAAAATTAAAACCCCTCAATTGTAATTTCAATTGTGCAAAGGACCTCTTACAGAATTTGAATTACGCATGGTTTCCTAGTGAACAGCTGTCAAAGCTTACTCGCTGTACAGTACCGGTACAGAGCTCCATGTATTTTATACCGGTTGCATTCCATCGTAAACATTTCACGACCAACGCAAGCAATACACTCTTTTACAGACAACTGCAGGCGACAAATGAAACAATCTTTCGTACTTGTTTTTTGTAAAGATAACATATTTTTCAAGGATTAATTTGTTTATTAAATTTGTTTGAATAATTTAGTTTTTTTAGTTAAACCTGCGTCGATAGATGCTAGTGCTTGAATGTATTAGGCTGCTATTGTTTACAATATAATTGAACTCGGCGTTAAGACCGAAAGATTTTTGGCACGGTATCAAAATACGACCGCAGACTTAGAATTGCATACCTTTCGCTAGGAATAATGTTTGCCTTGAGGTGATCTGTTGGCATCTGAAGCGGAATGGCGTCTACGGCGCACGCCACCTCCACACTTCGTCAAGTTGCTCCTGTCAAAGAACCGGCAGATTAATCTTGGGCTTGGTCGAGTGGAACAATCTGTCGCTGAAACCCTCAATTGTATGGGTCAGATGGTCGAAGTGTACTTTCGCAGCACCCTTACGATGCTGCAATGCTCTGTTGGTGTTTATGCTGGTCATCTGGCCCATGCACTGCGCCAGCAGGCCAAACCCCTGAGGCAGGGCTTACCTGGGACCCGCCTCATGATGTAGGGAGCAACAGTTGACTCACTTTCGCATTCGCCTTCGAGCACTCAAGCCGTCAGCCCTACTCGACCTCAAGCATAAGGCAAGTCATGGTTGCTTCGGTCTCCGGCGCCAGTCGCGCAATTATCGCTCTCTGCTCCGTCATCGCTGCCCACGGCGGCTTTGCCGTTGCTGCTGGTACCCAGGCCGATGTCGGTTCATGCTTAAACAAGGCTGGCATCGAGAACTCGGTCCCCACCACCACCACCTGGACGATGGATATCCAACCGTGGAACTCGCGCGTGAACCCCGTGCCTGCCGCTGTCGCTTTCCCCAAGACGGAGAAGGAGGTGTCTGCTGCCCTAAAGTGTGCCGCTAGTGCTGGTGTCAAGGTGACCACCCTTGGTGGCAACCGCTCGTTCTCGAGCATGGGTTTCGGACGTAACGATGGAGCCCTCGTCATTAACCTGAAGGCTCTGAAGCACCTAAAGTACGACCCGTCTACTAAGTTGCTGTCGTACGGAGGCCCCGTCATGATCTCGGAGGCCGCGAACCACATGTGGAACAAGTACAAGCGCACTCTTCCTCACGGCCGTTGCCCCGATGTCGGTATGACCGGTGTGGCCGCTTCGGGATTCGGTACCCTTTCACGTTCTAGCGGTACCGTGCTGGACAACATTGAGAGTGTCCGTGTGGCCCTTGCCAACGGCACCATCGTCGATGCCGACGCTAAGCGCAACTCGCACGTGTACTGGGGTGTGCGTGG